CACGTGTCAGATAAGGGCCAACTTTAACGGTCGTTACAGTCCAGGCACTTAAAAGTGTAACGTTGGAAACTAGGTATCTATTTTTAGCGAAAAATTCTTTAGGCACCAAATCATATTCTAAGGTATAATTTATGCACTAAAAAGTGTATTAAGCTAAAATACTGCTTAACAAAACTAAACAATGAAAATTTTATAAATTTTAACTAACCTAACCCAAAATTATCTATTAACAATAAAATATCTTAAATATAAATATTAGTTTTTTTAATTAAATATTAAATCAATCGGCTGGACCTCAAGGTAAAAAATGAAAACTTTGGACCAACCCTATTCATAGGCTTGTAATAGCAAGAGACATTAGCCTATAACATTCGATCATAGTGATAGAAAGTACATCCCTAAACTAGTTATATGCATGTAACATAGGATAGTGTTATTATAGCCTATAACATCTGATATCTTGTTAAGACGAATCAATTCGAGTAACATATGTCACATTAATCTCCGAAGTATTTAGAAGAAAAAAAAAGTATTCATTCAATCAACATAAGAATATAGTGGAAGAACATACATAGATAAACAGAGAACAAACTAAAGAACATGCAAAAGTCTCACGAAGAATGGTTAAACTTGCTTTAGGGGTAATTTCGGCTTTTCACACACAACATACTTAATCATTCTAAAAATGAAAAAAATAAAGTTGCCACAGATCGATACAACATTCATATAGACACTATGTAAAATTTATGGTGACTCAGATTTAAAACACTTCTTTAATTCCAAATCCATTATTTATAAGGACTAGATTGTAAAAGTTACTAACTTTAGTAATAATTTGAAAATTCCAAATTTATGGTTTGGTTATGAAACTAAAGTAAATATAAGTTTATTGTTGTAAACCCAACTTAATTCAAATTAGAATTTATTCTTAATTTTAATTTCAAAATTTGGGGACTATTTTGTAAAGTATCATTTATTAATGTGAAAAAGGCTAAAAACTAATTTTAAGGAATTAAAAGACAATTTGAAATGATTTCCGCCGATTCTATATCTGACAGATCGATGCTATAAATACAAGTTCTTACATAGTCAAATTATAGTTATGATGAGGGGGTGATTAATGAGTTCATGTGTAATTCGAACTCAATTCAATTAAAGTTCGATAAAAATTCGATTTGGATTGATTTGGTTCGAACTCGAATTTGACTCAAGACCTTAACGAGTTGAGTCAAGCAAAGTTCAACTCAATTCGATAAGTTCGTGAACAACTCGTTAACTTTTTTATATAATATTTTAGTAGTTATCTTAAATATTTATTTCATTCAAAAAATTACTAATTTACTGATAGGTAATAAAAAAGATGATAAATTATTAATCTATTAATTTTCGAATAAATGACCAAAAAAAATTAAATTATTAATTATATTTTACTACACTAAAAAAATAAACCCTATTTATTATTTTAATATATTTATATATTGTTACTTTAGAGTTTAGACTTTGAATTTACTTTATACACTCTTTTGATTTTTTTTTGTTAAATTTATTAATTTATGTTTATATTAAAATCTATATATTATTAGTATATTTTATCTATAGTTAAGAAAATAAGATAAAAATTTTAGTGAGCTTAATGAAAACGAGCATAAAGCTCAACGAGCAACAAGTTTTCTTAAAATTGTAACGAGCTTAATGAGCAACAAAATTTTTTAACGAATACGAGTTGAGTACTGTCTAACTCGCTGTCGACTTGTTCGATAAGCACCATTAGTTATGATAAATTAATTACCATTAGGGAGTATTTGAAATTTAAAATAATATGCATAGATCATATGACTGGCTTTTTCGATTAAAAAATAGATAAAATGTTAAGATTTAAAAAATATATAATTCTATATAATATATTCTTAAATTTAAATTTTTACCGAATATTTTTCATAAAATATATAATCTTCTTTAGCGTAACTTGTTAATTTTTACATTTTTATATATATCCTAAAGAAACATTTTACAACGCTCGTTAACGATGAGTATTATTATATTAATTTATAAAAGTACTAACCATATAATTATAAATTAGTTAAAAATCTAAATGTAATTTAATTAAAATACAATATTTATAAAACATTAGTTTTTAGGGTAAATTATACCATTGACCACCTAATTATTTACCCCTTTTACTTTAACCACCAATTTTTCAATTTTATCAATCAGGTCACCTAACTATTTAAATATTGTCAATCAAGCCACATGTCGTTAAATTTTAATGGACAAAATGACATGGAAATTAATAAAAATTTATAATTACATATTTAGTCCTCGTTACTTACAAATTATATTAGTTTAGTCCTAACTTTTAATTAATTCAATAAATTTCATCCTCAATCAAATGGTGAAATGTATCACTATGTGATTAGATAGATGTTTTTTCCTAATATTTTTATTTAATTTAATAAATATTACATCTAATTAAATGGTACCACGTGTCCCCAATTAAATGAATAGAAAATAAAATTGAATCAATAACTGCTGCTGGTGGGGTTTGAACCCAAGACGTGAGGAGAGGAAGAAAACACCCCAACCACTGGTCTGCACCATACAAATGACAAAACTACCACGACATAATATATATAATTAATGGAAATAAAAAAGAGAGAATATGACCTAATAAGAACTCCAATATGAAATAATTGAATAATATAATAATATGATATATATACACAAATATTATAACTAATTAATATGTGAATGTATTTATTTATATTTTAAATCATTTTAATAAAAAAATAAAATATTTTTAATATATTATAATTGAAATATAACGAAGAGATTCGTTGACTTAGAATTTTCCTGGCAGTTGAGGGCTTATTGTAGTAAGCATTTTAACTTATGCATTGACTTATTTATATCCTGGTTAGAATAAGAATTTTATACTTTATTATTTATTCATTATATATTTGAAGAAAATTTTAGGGGAAATTTGATTTTATTGAATTAGTCTATTTTAATATAGAGTTGCTAAATAAGATTAGAATCCGATCAACGTTATAATATTTTAAAATATAAGATATGATACATTTCAGTTCAATAAAATTAGAATAATGAAGACAATTTATTAATTTAAAATATGTAAAATGATACATTTCAATTATAACATATTAAATTCACTTTTATTTTTTTTTCATTAAATGTGATTTAAAATATAAATAAAACATATTCATTTATTAATCAATTATAATATTTGTTTATATATATTTTATATTTTCATACTATTCAATTATTTCATGATTGAGTCTTTATAAGGTCATTTATTACCATTAACTATATTATAAAATATATAAATTATGTTATGTATATTAGACAAATGTAGTGGTCCAGGTTAGTGGTTATGGTGCTTAATTTTTTAGCTTGCGTCCCAGGTTTAAACCCCACCAACATCGATTATTGATTTAATTTATTTTTTATTCATTCAATTGGTGACATATGACACCATTTGATTGGATGAAAAATTTATTAAATAAAAATATTAAAAAAACATCCAATCACACAGTGACACGTGTCACCATCGGGTTGAGGATTAAATTTATTAAATTAAATAAAAGTTAGGACTAAATTAATAGAATGTGTAAGTAATGAGGACTAAATGTGTAATTATACAAATTTTTTAACTTCAACGTATCTCCTCCGTAAATATTTAACGTCAGGTGGTTTGATTAACAAGATTTAAATAGTTAGGTGACCTGATTGATAAAATTAAAAAATATATGATTAAAGTAAAAAGGGTAAATAGTTAGGTGGTCAAGAGTATAGTTTACCCTAAAAACTAATGTTTTATAAATATTGTATTTTAATTAAATTACATTTCAATTTTTAACTAATTAATAATTATTCGTTTAGCACTTTATAATTTAACATTTTATAAATTAATTTAATGTTGCTCGTTCAGCGTGACAACATCATCCTATCCTAAATTACTTTAAAATTTTATCATTTAAAATTCTTACAAAATCATCATTACAATTTAATCTTTTAGGAGGTGGTAATTAAAATTATAAATTTAAATATTAAAATTATTTTCAATACATTTTATTTTAAACGGATAAAAAACTAGTTATATAATAAAATTGAATAAATATACAACTTTTCTTTTTGAATATAACCTTTTATTATACATGTAATGAGATATTTTATATTTTTTGTATTAAAAGAATATATAAACTATATGTTTAGTATTTAAAAATTATTATTTCTATTCTGTTTTAGTATTTGAACTTTATATTTTTTTCAAAAGCATACATAATATTTAATTTAAGTTTTATTTTGATATTTCATCATTATAACTTACAATAATATCAACATGTCACCATAAGATAATAACTTAACAGTTATATCAATATATCATCATAAGATAATGTCACATCATTATTAAAAAATTAAAAAAAAATCACTTCAAAATCATATGAAATTAAATTAAACATAAAACCTAAATTAAACGTTATGTATGATTGTGAAAAAAATATAATTCAAATACTTAAACAAAAAAATAATAATAATTTAAATTGTATATTTTTCAAAATCTTACTTAATGTTTAATTTAAGTTTCGTTTTGATATTTTATTGTTATAACTTAGCAAAATTGTTAACATATTACCATAAGATAATGTCACGTCGTTATTGAAAACAAATATCACTTCAGTAATTCTATTAATTTTTTAACAACAAAGTACCAAAATGAAACATAAACTAAATGTTTAGTATGATTATAAAAAAAATTAAATACTAAAACGGGATAAAAATAATAATTTAAATACTAAAAATGTAATTTATCATAAAAGAAACATAAAATAGATTGGAAAGTCTCTAACAGGGATTTTTTATATACACAGACTCGAACTCGATACATACTTAAACGATATCAAGTTGTTTACCACTTTGAATCAATCACGTTGGTAAGATCTAACCTTTTGAAACAATTAAATCTAAACCTAATATTTGTCAAGTATGATAAAATGAGAATCTAACGTTCTCATACATTATCTTTTTTATTAAAGGAGCAAGCCTCTTAGAACACAGGGCAGAATATTCAGTAGCAGAACAGAGATTACAACACCTAAGATTGAAAATAAACGAGCCAATCCATGACTCAAAACGAGACCATGCAAGCTAATGATACCAGCGAGACAGTTTTATATTTATTTTATAAACAAGAAGCACACACAATGATGATGTACCCGAACAGATTACAACGCTTACGATGACAAGAAACGAGCCATCCATGACTCGAAACGAGACCATGCAAGCTGGACCGCAGCTTCATCCTCATCAGCCATTCCCATGTCTTTTCTTCGCTTTATACCATCGGGGGACCTGTTCATGAAAGCATGTGCATTGCCCGGATAAATATGCACCTCATACGGAGTTCCTGATGCTTTCAGCTTTTCCTCCAACGCTTTTGCTGCCTGAAATCTCGGGAATTCCATTGCTAAGTTTCAGCAACAATTCTACCAATAAAATCACTGTATGGTATTATTGCATTTTCTACTAGTTGCCTTATCACATCATAGAAACTACACAGCAAATGCTTGGTAAAAAAGAATAGAAAAGGCAAATAAACCGACCTAATGAAGTTTCATTACTCTGATCATTGTATCAGCAAATAAACAACGGTACTCGCATTATCTCATAACCAATCACAAAATCAAAGATAAATTAATGAATGAACCATTTCCTGTGGCTCATAAGAGTCCATTTCTTTTTCATTTTTTCTATCAACCATTACCCATGGTTTATATGTAACTAAGGTTTTTGGAAGCTAAATGAAGTAAGCCACTGTGCTAGGTTCCCTGGTCATTTTCTCATGATCATATTGGGTCTTAAAGTACTTGACAAATCATTGCTGGCATTTCTACAAAAAAAGTTTGCCACTGAACTGTTATTATGGCCTGGAAGGTGGCTGAAATATTTTATTCCCAAAAGAAATAAAAAAGGGGGCATTTATAGCGTAGAAACTCCAAATACTCAGTCAGAAACATAAAACTAGTTTCAAGACATGATTAGCAACAAGTTATTAAATCTAAAACTGAGAACAAAAAAGTTGTCATACCGTCACATCTGCAAACCCAACAAAGTTATCAAGTTCTCCGAAATGAGCTTGAACAGGGGCCTTGGCCTGAGCAGGGTCTGCAAGTTCAGATGAAGGAACACCATAGAAGGCAACAACAGCATCGACTTCAGGAACTAAAACAGAACTTGCAATAGAGAGGGCACCCCCCATGCAAAACCCAGTTACTCCAGCCTGTTGTAATGCAATGAAATCAGAGATTGCACACTGACCAAATTTTAAACTTCACCTGAAACTTAGTGTAATGCAATGAAATCAGAGATTGCACACTGACCAAATTTTAAACTTCACCTGAAACTTAGTTTAAAAAACAGAAACAGTAATTCTAATGTCCCACTATAGTTTGGTTGATAAAACAGATTGGTTGAGTTGTTAAGAAAAAAGGTAGCTCCCTGTTATTATGCATATTTAACGGAAAAAACACTTAAAAAATTCATAGGAGAATCTTAACTTTGTTTGGAAGTTAAACTTAGAGGAGATCATGAAGAGACAGGAAATAAAACATAAAAAATAAGAGACTAGAACATTAGAGATAAAAGTGATGAGCTTATATTTTCAGATTTAACAAAAATGGTAAGGAAATAATAGGCTAACATAAAATATGAAATCATCAATCCACTGTACTTGATTCTTTTAAAGATAAAAAAGGTATCAGCAATACTTATCTCTCCTAAATCACTTATAGAAAAATGGATGAACCCATCATTATTTTATATTCTCTCAGATTCTCCATCCACTAAGCCATCCAAACAAAAGAAAAGTACTAAATATGAATCAGATTCATATATCTGTTTCAACTTATCTCAGTCAAATAAGTTAGCAGAACAGACAATAAAATGAAGTGTATAAACATAAAAAATGTGTAGTGTAATCATAGGGCTTTAACAAAAAAGACGATAAAGAACCAGCACAGACCTTCTTTGAGCCATTAGCTTTAAGCCAGTTAACTGAAGCACGTATATCCTTTACAGCACCTTGCCAATCAAGACCATCCATTAGGTGTTGAGCTTCAGCAACATCCAGACCAACCTTTCCTCGATACAAACTGATGCAAGTCAAGAAATTTTAAATGAATTACCATTCAAACGCGGAAAACGTCAAGTTTATGGTAATTGAGAGAAGAGAAGAGAAAAGAAAAGAAAAACATATATATAAAATAAAAAAAACTGGGGAATGAAATTCATACTCTGGAATAAGTGCTTTGAAACCTGAACCAAGTTGAGAAATCTTCACGGCATGATTTTTTATCTCAAAATCCACACCCCACCACTCCTGAAGAACAACAATTCCAGGTGCATCTTCTTTGCCAACCACGTATGCATCAAATGCCTGATCAGTGCACTTAAAATAAATAAATAAATATATCAAAGATTATCTAAACCAAATAAAACTTGGCTCTGCTTTGGATTTGTTGAAAACTGCAAAAGCAATCATGAAAACAATATTATCGACAACAAGTAACTAAAACTACCGGTGACAGTAAAAAGATTAAACAACATTAAAAACAAAACCCAGTCACTATCATTTCAGCAAAGATATCAAATAGTCAACAATCAAAATCATCAAAAAAATGGAATCCCATGATAATTATAACATGATTAGTCAACGTAGATATATCATCCATTTTTTTAGTCAAGAAAGGGGGGGAAATCAATTTCAGTCTCAAATTTTCAACCAACATCTCATACAACTTAATTACTAATATTTCAGCAAAGATAGTAAATACCCAACAATCAAAATCATATAAAAAGGAACTCCTAATTCATAAACTGTTAAAACGAAGAGGAAAGGAGAAGTTCAACTGACAGTGTCATCCCTCTGAATCTGAACTTTCCTGAAAGCAGAGTCGGCCATTGATCGGATAGAGAAGCGAGGAGCACAGGGAGCGAGAGTGCGTGAAAGGATGAAGGAATAAGAAGGCTTGTAGAGAATACAGCTGGATAAGATTCTGGACGATGATAAAGATAAAACAGCCGCTGCCGCACCTAACATGCTTAACGCACTCACTTATTTTGTAACTTAGTATTAATTATTGACGTCATTTTCTACTACCTTCTTCTTCACTGGGAATAAACAGCTCACAAAGCTACGCCGTTTAAGATAGTTTCTATCAAGGGCTTAAACCTAATTTGGGCCTAAAATTTAAGATAAATTATTTTCAAGAATATTTCTAAAAAGTTTGATTTAATTTTTTTTAAAATAATAACAGCCAGCTTTTACAGAACCAAACAAAATGAATCCAAAAACAAAACAGGTGTAAACCCTTAACAGAGAAGAAAAACGAATAGGGAAATGGATCTTGTGTTAGTAGATGACTCCGAATTGAAGATCTACGGCGGGTCTAGAAATCTTCTGTCCTCCGCTGCCTGCAATTCCACACTCAGAACCGGTCAGTCGAATCAAACGAACATCCACGTAACATCTTATTAAAAAATATTTAATATTTAATACATTAAGTCAACTATTATTAAAGATTTAAATTTCCAATACTATGACATATAAGAGAATTACGTAAACAAAGTGTGAGAAAGAAAAAAAATGTTGAAATCCAAATCAAAATCAAAAAATCAAAATAAAATTTGCATACCTCTTTAGTTCATTTCCTAGTTGAAATTGTAGGAGAAAGTGTGAGTGTAATATGCTAAAATGAGAAAATGAAAAAAAAAATATTTTTAGAATTTAGTTAAAAGAAAGTCTTTTAAGGTAATCAATATTATATTAATGGATGGATGGGGCGGGTAACGGATCGAATAATAGGGGTTGAAAAAATTTTACTCGAATCCATCATCCGCTCCATCTACCACCCACTTCAAAATGATCAAACTCATATTTCATCGGGTTTTTGTCCATTTAATTGGGTTGGGTGGGCCATCATCCATAGGTGATTGTCAGCCCTAATTGTAAGGATAACTTCTTAACCATTGTTCTCGAATCACCTTCAAAAACCACCGCTTGGAATCCCAACTCAACAATAAATTGGACTGCATGCAACCCAGCCATAACCTTCGTCATGAAAGCTGAGGTAATCCTTTCTCCCACTCGACGACAAGCACCCATAATAAATTCATCGTTGTTTCGAATTAGTACTCCTGACTAAGCCCAAATTTTATTTTGCGAGAAATTGGCATCAAAGTTCACCTTCACCAACGAGGAGATGGAGGCTTCCAACGAACGAGAGGAAACCAGAGAGAGCCATTTGAACCTGCATTAGCAATTAGGAAGTCTTGGCATTGAGATTTAACCAGGGTAATTAATTCTTCCACTCGAACTTGTTTGCCCTCATGGTATGCTTTATTCCGGGCGAACCATAATGCCCAGATAATGCATAATATCTCTCAGTGTCATGTAGTAGCACAGTTGCTAAATAACCTCCCTAACCATTTAGTCAGATTAGCTTCTAGTAAGTGATTCGGCTACTGAAAATTCAATCTTGGCCATAGTAGTTGAGCTAGATGGCAGCCGTGAGCGATATGCAGACCTATTTCCCTTGGATTATCGCATGACGAACATATCGTGTCATCAATAATACGCCTAGTGTGTAGGTTGTGCTTCGTCGTAATAAAATTCTTAACAAATCTCCGGACTTGTAACTTAACTTTTCTTTGACAAGTACAAGCCCATATGTGTTTGAACACTACTTTATATAGATGAGAGATGATGTTCATATCAAGTAACATTCGTTAACAGCTTCTAACGCTATACACTCCAATTTTCTCCCAACTCCAAACAAGACAACTTTCTTGATCAAAACTAGAGATAGGAATCCTAAGAATCAACTTCGCCTCATTTTCTGTAAACATGCCATTAACTAACTCGATCCTCTACGTCTTCAGATTGTTATCGATTAAATCTGTCACTTTTGTTACTGAATTGTCACAAACAGATGCAAAACGTTCCAGATTGAGATAGAGGTACCTGTTCCTACCTTCCATCTCATCCTCATCTCCAATGAGCCTTTTGCACTTCAAATACTCCGTCAAATATATGATATGGTGGCTCCTAATCTCGAGTTCAAAAATTATTCGCATGGAAGTAGTTCGCTCATATTAGTCTACCTACTAAAGTTTCCAGGTTGAAAACAATCTGCAACCTTTAAAGTTTCCATACTTTTAGAGTAAATATATATACTTTCGAATTTTAAAAAAAATATTTCAAACGGTTAAATTGTATATATTTTACCGTTTATATTATTATTAACCTTTAAATAAACCGTAGCTAGTTTAACGCAATAAGAAACGCTTATTTAACGTAATAAGTAGTGCCTATTTAACGTAATAGGTAGCGCCTATTTTCTTTTATTGTTTACATTATTAGTAACCTTTAAACAAATTGGTATGTATTTTAACGTAATAGGTAGCGCCTATTTTATTTTACCGTTTACAATATTAGTAACCTTCAAATAAATCAGTAGGTAGTTTAACATAATAGGTAGCATCTATTTTATGTTAACCGGTTAAGTTTTAAATATAAGTATTAATATATACAATATAGGTATGAATATTTTTTCAAGACAATAGTTGGATATAGCTTATTTTCGAAACAGTATTCATACTTTTAGAGTAAGTATGGATACAGAAGTAATGCAATTTATGTTTCAAAATTTTTTAATAGTTCTTCATGTTTTTCACCTATAACATTATGAGTCTATTTCATGCTTTAGATAGAAGATAGAGTTAGTAAGAGAAAGAAAGAAGAAATGAGAAGAATGAAGGCCTTTTAGGCCTAATAAAGGGTATTTATACCCTCACCAAAACGACGTAGTTTTGGTGAGGGATCTCCATGTAATTTGGTAATGGGCAAACAATATGCGAAGTCCCTCTGTTTTGAAAATTTCTATTTTAGTCACCAAATTAAATTTTTGGGCATTTTTAATTTTGTCTTCGAAGTTTATTTTATTTTAATTTAATCCTTGTTTGTTTATTCATATATTTTAGGGTAAATACCATATTTAGTCCCTTATAATTTTTATAATTTATATGTTAACCCGAATTAATTAATTAAGGCTAAATTACACTATTAGTACTTAGATTTTTTTTATTCGAGTTAGAGCCTGTTGAAAACATTTTGATGTTTCGATATAACAAATTAAATTAAAAGAATTTTAATTTTGAAAATGACTTTTCTAAGCATATTCGATATATTAAATCGAATATCAAAATATTACTCAAAGTATTTCAAAGTTCATTTTAAATCTTTACTAAAATGTAAAATTAAGTTTTAATCTTAAAATAATTTCAAAACAATTTTATAAAGTATTTCGAACCGTTTCAAAGCCAAAAATTACAGTTTGTCCAGAGGGAACCGATTCCCCCTGAATGGTTTTGCTCCAAGAAATAACAGTGTGCTCGGAGGGAACCGATTCCCCCCAGGGGGTACGATTCCCCCCACTGTTCAACGGTCGAATATTTGAATTTTACATTTAGGGAACCGATTCCCCATGAGGGGGTACCGATTCCCCCCACGCTCCAAGCAAAAATATTAATTATTTTCACACTTAAACGGCTCCAATAACTTCATTAATGATCCCCAACATTCAGAAGTGATTCAAGGTGTATTTAAACAAACTTAGAAGCCATTGATCAACAACAAGAAACATCAAGAAACTAGAATCAAGAGAGAATCAAAGAGAAAGCATCAAACCTCAAGTTTGTGCATTTCAAGCCTATTTTTTATTCATTATTCATTTTGCTTTCAAGAACACTACTTGTACTCAATTGTATTCATTCTTGAGTGTTCTTTTCTTTGTTCTAGAATTGTGCAAACAATCTACCTTGTGAGGATTTCCTTATAAGTTTACAAATTTGTAATCTTCTCTTTGGGAAAGAGTGTTCTCAAGAATTGGGGTATATTATTGAGGGGTTGTAAGGTTATCTCTTTGGCCTCAAAAGAAAGAACAAATTAGTGAATTTGTTGGAAAATCCTTAGTGTGGATAGCTAAGGTAGTGGACGTAGACTTTGATTGAGAAAGTCGAACCACTCTAAATCGCTGTGCAATTACTTTCAATTTTCTGCAAAAGCTTCCACAAAATTTTAATTGCCAATTCACCCCCTCTTGGCCGATTCTGTCAATCGATTAACTCAACAATTGGCATCAGAGCCTAACTCATTTGAAGGTTTAATCGCCTCTTGAGTCATTTCGGGAAGAGTTACATCGATAATCAAAGTCATCAATGGCCTCTACTTCAAACTTCGACTCCGGTCTCGATTCGATGCTCGTCAACAAGCCTCTTTTCTTCAATGGGGCTAACTATGCCTATTGGAAAAATAGGATGATGTACTTCATTCAAGCAAGTGACATGGGAGCATGGAATGCCGTAGAAGAATGATACATCAAGCCTCTCACTCATCCAAGATTGTGGAGTGAAGGAGAGACAAGAATATTCCAGCTCAACTCCAAAGCCATCCATTTCATATTTTGTGCTCTTGGACCAGATGAATATGAAAGAGTTTCATCTTGTACAACCGCCAAAGAAATATGGGACAAAACTTCAAGTCACTCATGAAGGTACCGATGAGGTAAAGAAATCTAAAATTAGTATTCTAACGCATAGCTATGAAAATTTCAGGATGAAACCAAATGAAGATATCAAAGCTATGACGGATAGATTTTCAACGATTGTTAATGGTCTCAAATCATATGGAGAGATCATTTCAAATGAAAAGCTTGTGAGGAAGTTAGTCTACTCCCTTCCAAAATCGTGGCAATCAAAGAAGACGACAATCATTGAGTCTAAGGACCTAACATCCTTAACTCTTGAAGAACTAATCGATTCCCTTCTCACTCATGAAATAATGCTTGAAGATGAAGTAGACCTCGATAAAATTGACGAGACACCAAAGGAGAAGGAGAAGAAGAAAAACATTGGAGTTGCTCTCAAATCCACAAAAAGATGAGAGTAATTCGAATGAAGATGATGATGAAGAGGAAATGGCATTATTTGCCAAACGATTCAGAAAGTTGATGATGCCCAACCGAGGAAGAAAATTAAAACATCATG